TGAAAAGGTTTAAATGCTAAGAATGTGCCGCCCATTACCTGCTCAGTGGTGGGTTAAAGGGATTAGGAAAGGGTCTTTCATGGTAACATTTCCTGGAGGGAAGTGTTGCCGGTAAAGCAGGATGGAATGAAGATTTGGATCTACACTTTACAATGCATGAGGGTGTTGAGTCAGCTGGACTGTGCATGTACACTGATGAGTATTTCCTCACTGAGGATGAACAGTACATTTTGTTATGGAAATTCAAGTTGACCCTTCTGTGGTCTCATGGGAAGTGCCCTTCATTACGCATGGGGGACAGTTACATGTATATAATCACTTCCGGGCCATCTCTGCCCAGGGAGAGGAAGCCCAAGACAATCAGTGGGCTGATTGTTGGGGCATTGTTTCGGCCCTTGCGGTGGGCTCTCCGAATCCGGAGGGAGCAGCAGGCCTAACCGGGGCGTGTGGGCTCCTAGACAAATTGTGGGAGTCTGGTTATGTTGCAAAGGGAGGGGATTAGGGGACATATGTACAGAAGTCTGGGTGCTGCCTGCATGAATAAATGAATTTTGGACTCAGACTGTGCGGGTCTCAGTTGTTAGACACTTTGAAGAGGATTGGTTTGCCACCAGGGGTGCAGAAGCAATCCAATGGGGGGAGGGGGCTTGGATGAGGAAGGGGAGGGGAGTTGTTCCCTTAACTCAGTTTACACCTTCTTCCTACACATGTACATGTACATGTACTTTATCCTTGGGGGGGGATTACAGCTTGCTGTTAGACATGTGTATCCAGTTGTGTGCACACATGTTTCTGTGATACATTATTTATCATCTAGTGAGCGCTCAGTGCCTACGTCTTTTGGCACCAAGAGGACTTTGAAAAAACAGGAAGTCGCGTCCTGTCTTTGCTCCCACCTCCGGAGGGTTTCTGTGGAGGACAACACTTGGTATCCTTCCCATGAAGAGCTGCTCTGTGGGCGTTGGGTTCCCTTGTTTTCCCACCGTGTGGAGCCTGCTGTCTGCTTCTGGGCTGATCTGCGGACGAGTGTGTACTGTTGCAATGGGATTAGGCAAATGTGTACTAAATGTACACATGTACATGTAGTGAACAAACATGGCTTGGAGCCAGCCAAAGGTGAACAAACAGGTGGAAAAAAGGATAAACAAAAAAAGAAAGGACAGAACCCTGATGGTTACATGTGTACTGGTATGGATGCTTCTTAATGTCAGTGTGCCACAGCTGTTATTTCACAAGTCATTAGACTGAGATTCATTGAATAAATCTTAAGATGAAACTTGCGACAGTTTCAACATTACGTACATGTATGTCATTTATGAGGCATGGAACATTCATTGATAAAGGATTTGATTAACTGAGCTTGAGAGGGTACGGGTACACGGATTTGCGCTTGCGGTTTCCTGTGTAATTTGTGTCTTCTCGGGCTCCTAATTATGGACGCAGTCAAAGAATTGCTGGCACGTGTAGCATTTTAAGACCAATCTGAAAGAGTTTTGCATTAGATTTCCCCAATTGGGAAACGTACATTCCCAAACTATTCCATTTTCCACACGCCATTTTGGGTGGAAATATTTTGCATTGCACTTACGGCATGCACATGTACATTTCAAGGAAAATTGAGTCGTTGGCAGTGTGAATTCGGGATGATAAGATTAATTTTATGGATACCGGTAATTATAAATACTTTTTTTACCGTGGCATCCAAATTCACACTGTCAATTTCCTCTGTGGTGAGGTTCAGTCCAATGACTGTGGTCAAGGGTAGAGGACACTGCACTTCTATTTTAAACTCAAAATAAAAGAAGAAAATGGCCATACCGAAAAGAAGGTTACTGCGTAGGTCAGCCTGGAAATAACTGTCCAGTTCCTTTCGTGCTTGCCTTGTGGTTTTTTAAGGTTAATTGTTTCAGTGACAATAGGAATTGGTTGTACTTGGGTGACAGCTCTAGTGGAGTTGAGCAATATACAACCATAATTGTTCATGAAAACAATTGTCTTCAACTTCAAGACGCAGCAAACTGAAGTCAGCGTTTTTACCACAGACTAAACATGTTGACGTCTGTGCACACCAAGGTTTTGTACACCCAAAAGCAGTATACATCCTCAGTGTTTATTCAAAAGGATCAGATGATGGAGAAGCAGTTTTTGAAACTGCACAGGTGTCAAAGTTGACTCCTTCCATCTTTCAGGTGATTTTACATACCGGTATGCATATGTACATGTACACATGCACTGATGTACATGTACACATGCACTGATGTACATGTACACATGCACTGATGTACATGTACACATGCACTGATGTACATGTACGCATGCACTGATGTACATGTACACATGCCAGTATCCGGTGATTGTACATGGTGGTGTACATGTACTGTACATACATGTATACAGCGTGTGTGTACCTGTAGTGGTGTACTAACTCATGAATGTGTATTTAATCTGTCGTCCGAATCCTAAGCTTGAACAACGTGACCAACAACATACTGTTGTAAATGGAAGTTTCCCAGAAGATCATAAAGAAGGGTTAAACACTGCTGTATGGGGTGGAGTTTATGGTACCGTACTTTTGACAGCCGTCAATCCAGTATCTTTGTAATCTTGTACACATTGTGTGCATGTGTTTCTCTGTGCCCAGAACCTGTGCGCACCTATGCAAAACTTAACGCCTGTACAAAATGAAACTGTGTTCTCTTAATCCTTCATTGCTGTGGACAGATTTATAGCTGGCTCATTATTTGACATTCCCTGTTAACACCTTGAGGCTGAAGGTGTTGAAGCTGAGGTGTTTACTGTTACTGGAGAGGTATCAATCAATTAGCCTAATGTACAGGTGTTTCTGTGAACCCCCTGAGCCCAATAACAAACAGTGGTGTTGTGTCAGAAGCAGTGTTATGGCTGGGATCTTGATAAATGACACAATGGTTTGCAGAATTTTCTGGGGAAATGTTTACAAGCCTGCACTGGTACTCAGTGTGAGAAAAAAAAAGCTTATCAGGTGCATTTATGCTTAACACCACTATCATTATTTGTCATCGTGCCAACCGGAATTGCATGTAAATCCTGACCAACTTTTGTACTGGGAACTTCCTCTTGTCAAGCAGCTACAGTGCTATACGTGTCTCTGTCCTTGCTCTATGTTCTACCCAACGTCAACCAATAACGAGCTCTGTGATCTTTCCCCGATGTAAAAGATATGAATTGTGGCTTTCTCTGCTAAATGTACTTCTAGGGCACACATAAAAAGCTATGGAAGTTGTTGATAAAAAGACTTGTACATGTACAAGATGAAACCATGGCTGTATCTTGTCAATGGCCATCTTGTATTGTGCTTCACCGTTCCTGGTCCACGATGTTTTGAGAGGTGCCGTTAATTAGACGCGACACTGACTCGTGTGACCCAAATCTCACACAGAATGCTGTGGCTTTTGTTTCAAACTGGCAGCACCCCCAAGGCCAGCCTAGCAGTTTAAACTGTCCGAATCTCTACCGGAGGAAGTCCCGGTTTTTGTAATTCGTCCTGTTGAGTGATCAAATCAATCAGGAAAAATAGATGCTAGAGACACGCCATCGGTAATACACTGACCACTGAGGTCAGGGACGCTGCAAGGACACCTGGTGATAACAGTCCGCCTACCCAAGGCAAAACACATTAACATGTTGCCACTCTCTCTTTGCTTTCCCTTTAAAATGGCTGTGCCCGCTATCTCCTTGAGCCACACCCCCTCGGGCCCCCACCCCTTTGGCCCCTGCCCCATTTGGCCCCACCCCCTTTGGCCCTATTTCCCCGGTCCCCTGCTGGATATGTCACGTCTTACATGTACCGGTACCACTAGTTGAAGTACCGTAAAATTTCTGTATCTTCCAGTGTCCAGCAGCTGCACATTTCATTCCACTGAAATTGACAGTGTACCACCCCATTACACTTCGGGCTCTCCTTTCCACCAACTCCCTCAACATCTCTGCTCGGTTGCTCACAACCCTTGCCTCAGCCCATGCCTCATTCTCTTCTTTCACTCTAGTAATTTATCTCCAGTAGTCATCCGACTTCAAGTCTTGCCCACCATAATTCTCCTCCCCCCCTCCGTGTTTTTTTTTAACCAAAGCACTGCACTGTCTTCTCTTCAGCCTTCAAACTGCAACTGGCTTGTAATAACATGGGCTCTGTCCTTTGAATCACGGAGCAAGCTTTGAATTGACCCAACCCAACTGCCTGATGGGGAATTCTCGCCCTGTAGTGACCTTTGACCCTAATTTGGAGCATGGGGAGGTACTTTTGTCTGTGCTGCTGGAGAGTCTAGAGCGTTGGGAGTTCAAGAATGTTCCCTGAGGGATCACTGTGGGACACAGGTGAAGAATGTGGCAGGTTTGAAAGTGGACCTGGGAGACTTTGACTGGAGATACCCAGTGAATTTGAAGACAGAGGTGTTCACTGGTTTTGTCGCTTTCGCGGTACATGTACCGATTTCAAATCTTTGTGTATGTGTACCTGAGTTTGTTTCTGCATTCAATTGGGGACCCTGAACAATAGAGGACAATAAGGTCCTCGATTGACAGAAGGTCCCCGATTGACAACTGTGTACAAAACATATGGCTGTACAAACAATAGAGGAACAATAGGGGGTCCCCGGTTGCAGGCAAATACACACTTGTGTGTACGTGTACATGCATCTCCCACTTCAAGTGGCTCAGCAACATACATGTAAGATCATACATGCTTAGCAAAGTGTTAAATGCACCTGTCCCTGTCTATCCTTTGGAATTCAGTCGAAGCGTTTTTAGAAATTAAAAAGTAACTTTCATGTATAAGCGTGCATCTCTTTTGCGTGACTGCATAAAGAGTTACAGCATGAACTGGTTCAGCAGCCTGTTCTTACACTCAACTTGTTGGGCTACATCTTGTCCATTCTGAGGCTAATTTCAATAAAATGTGGCATCTGAATATGTCATTGTTTTAATCATGAATCTCTCTGGGGTTTTTTTCTTTTCCTCTATAGCCTCAGAACATTCTGTTAACCTCAGGACTGCCATGCCTCGGCGACATCAAGCTCATCGACTTTGGCATCGCCAGGCTGGTCCAGAATGGCGACGTCATCCGCGACATTGTCGGGACGCCTGAATTTGTCGGTAAGGGTTGCATTTGTGAATGGAAAGTTTTGGGTCAGGGAAGGGTATAAGTTGCCATTTGTAACTGTGCACATAAATGTTGGCCGCAGCTTAGTGATAAATGATTAATAGCCCTAATGGTACTCAATTTGCCAATCCGGTCACGAGTCAAATCACAAGCTGTTCAGTTGGTGTGTGACTGGAGTTGTCCTTTGTCACAGTCCAACCCATTACTTTCAACTGGTCTTGTAGGAAGGACGTGCTGGCTTCTGTCAAATATGGTTGACAGGGAAAAAAATTCCTATTCAAAAGAGCAAGGCCTTGAAAAGAGCCAGTCAGCCATAAACTTAAGAATTACAGTTCAAGATTTTCAAAATTGAATCGTTTGTATTTGCCACAGCACCGGAGGTCCTGAATTATGAGCCCATCACGCTGGCTACGGACATGTGGAGCATCGGCGTGCTGACCTATGTCATGCTGACAGGCATCTCGCCCTTTGCTGGAGACGACAAACAGGAGACCTTCCTCAACATCTCCCAGGTCAGCCTGGACTTCCCCCAGGAGTACTTCCAGGACATCTCGGAGGACGCCCAGGATTTCATCCGGCGGGTCTGCGTCAAGGAACCTGAGTAAGTGTGCCGATCCCTGCCAAGTACGGTCTGCCTGTTCTGAGGCCGTTTTCAGCGGCAGTTTCAGTTGATGGCTCACACACATCAGAAGTTGAAGGCAGAGTGTCTTGTAGCGTTTCTTTTCACAATTACAAGCATCACTGTAGCTGGAGACTCTCCATTCCTGTCCTCTGCTGTCCATTTTGCTGCATCGTTTGTACCCCATTCCTGAGTAGTTTACATTTATCTTCATCTCGCAGGAAACGACTAACGGCTGAAGAGTGCCTTAACCACCGGTGGCTTCACGCCAGCTGCAAGGCGATGACGACTTTGACAACATCGGGAAATAGAGTGAGCGAAGACAACAATAACCAGCTCAAGGAGGACGTTGACCAAGATGAGGATGTCGCGGACCAATGCTGCGCAGATGATCCAGAAACAACATCTTTTCCCTGCGACACACCGGACTCATTCATATCCCGTCGCAACAGTTCCCCCGAGGTGCTCCCTGCGACTTGCAATCATTCCACAGCCCAGACGTTCACCACTACTACAACTGTAACTGTCCGAACGGTGCCTCTGGACTTCGATTGCACCGATGGCGGAAAGGACTCCGAGAAGAGAATCCTTGATTCAGAGGAAGACTTGGAGACTACGGAATCTGTCGCAACAAATTCGGACTCCTCCGAGCAGCACGAGGGCTGCAGGTCGCCCTACCACAGCCCCTCTGTCAACCGACGCGTACTCCTCAAGAGCAAGGACACTCTACCCAAAGACCTGAACCAGCCAAAGAGAATATGCATCCAGGTCGTCTAGCGAACCTGAGCACACGCAACTTTTCAGGGAGGGTGATCTGCCCTGTGGAATAATTTATGGCTTGCAACGGCCCAGTACATACTGTTTAGATCTGCTCAAAGAGCCATATCACAATGAGAGAGCTTCCGTGCTATCAGATTAATTTGAATGCCAAATACTCCATCTACCTGTCGTTACTTTTTGTCCAAGAAGAACTGCTAGCTTAAATGGTTCCCACATCAGTTTTGTCTTTTACGACATTCCAAACTGCTGTCGACGCTGACAAGGTTAATTGGTCCAGCCCGACTACAGCCTTCAAAAGAATGTTTTTACAAGTGAAAGGAAAGAGACATGCTTGAAATACTGTGGCTATTTCCCGTTACATCCAAATATTGTTGACTGTACGCCCTGTCTGCGACGGAGAAAAATGGTCATGTACATCTCTACTTCCCAACTTGATGCAAGGTGGCAGACGTTTAACAGTACACAGTTCAGTGAAATGCCTTGATTCACCTATCTCATGCAGTGTCAGACTGTCAAGTGCCCACACATGCAAAATTCACTGCATTTTTTTTTTGCACAGGAAGTCAGAATTTTTCTTTTTGCCAGTGAAAGTGCACCGTTATTGCCTGCTTCCTGTTTCTTCAAAATCGTACCGTACATTGGCGTGTCTTTATCATACACATCTCCTTAGTTTTGCCCTCTCTGCCCATCTATAATGCTTTAAAGGGTGGTTATCTGATGCTGTAGGCAAAATTATTTTTCACGGGGAATGATAAATTTGAGTTTGGTTTGTTGGCATCAAGTAACATCAGTAGGCGCTTAATAGAATGCAGACAACTCTGCAAGGCGAGCTGCCATTGGTAGATGTTTAGGGTGGAGGGAGGCTAATGACCAATGACAAGACTTGTTAAGTTTACGTTTGGGAAAGCAAAGTTTTATATGTTGGTGCACATAGATTTGTGACAGTTGTTACAAAACGGATGAATTCACATTAACAACTCGTTGGTTTCTCCAGGCTTTTTTTCCGTGTTGACGTTGATTGCATTTAATCATGATTCATGTACATTTCTTTATTTGTCTATTATGTTGTATATTTTGTTAGGAGACTCACGTTATTCTGCCATGTAATCTTAGGAATTTTAGTGAAAAGAGTTAACGGTGTTTTCTGGCCAGTTACTTCATTTTGGAGGAACTCTACACAGCAAGTGGGGAATCTCAACTT